ACTTCCCCTCCGAAGGAAGGCGTATGAAGGATTTTTTCGCCCTTAACAACCCACGGCTTCGATTGGGTCTCCTTTCACCAACAAGTAGAGAAAGGAGGTACTTCTTGGGCGAGAAAAAGGCGATTTCAATTTAGTTAAGAGGTGTCATTTAGGCTTGAGGAACTTTTATATGCAAGTCAATCTATTAACATGTACACGGGCCGAGGAAGGCGTATGAAGGATTTTTTCGCCCTTAAAAACCACGGCTTCGATCGGGTTTGAACCCGTTAACTTGGGTACAACAGTCCAAAGTTTTCCTAATTCTTTAAACAAATGCTTAAATATCCCCTTTCTTTTGCTCCTGAACATAGCATATTTAGCTTCATTATACATTAACGTTTTCTTGAGCTCAATGGCGAGTGCAGATACTCAGATAATAGTTCATGTTCTCGCAGTTATAAGTCGATGACGTCACGTCGGACATGATCAGAAATAACAGCCAAAATCTGTAGCTGATTTGCCTTGGGAAATAGTTTCCACAGGGGCGAATATTGTCTTACCAATTCTCAATAAAAACGCTCGTTGCCATCTGTATTCATAATTCAAATGAATATGTACACTAGTTCGGGTAGAGGTTTCAGAACTCAAAACACAGACTGCACCTGTTTACAGAGTTCGTCATCCGCTATATTTGACGTAAAATAAATAAGTAAATAAATAAAGATTTCCAGACTTCATGAAAAGTTTTCTATTTCCAGTAATGATGAAACAAATTCAAGTTTAATTTGTCACTCTTTGACACACATTGTCCTTCAGATACGACTGCAAGTGACATTTTTAAAAATAGTTTAGGAGCAAGTATCCTTTAGCACTGTACTTTATTTTAGAGTTTTTCAATTTTAAAACATGAAAGAAGTTCAATAAGGTTTGCATTATATCTTTAAATGGACAATTCAATGTGATAGAGTGCATTACCATTTACTGATTCGGTAGTCTTTCTTCGGAGGGGAAGTAAAGCCAGCTGTTCCATGAAGTAGATTTACTGCATATAAAAGATTCTCAAGCCCAAAGGAAGCCTAATTAAAATCCCCTGTTTCGGCACCGAGATGATCTTTTCCCACTAGATGGCAGAAGGGGCGCAGCGAAATTTGCTTGCTCGGATGGAAGAGCGGGCTTGATAGCTCGAGTCTCGTCACGTAAAATAAGGCAACTACCATTAAATTTAAATTTGAAGGAGGAAAAGGGAAATCGCGGAGGTTTCAATTCTTCCTTGGGAGAGTCGCAACGTAAAAAGACAGTTCATTTGACACAAATTAGGATTAGATAATACACAATTGCGAAACTCCAAATGCTTATCAATTATTCTAATATTCAGTAGGCCGACGTTCATAGCAAGAACTGAATTTACCTCTATTTACGTAAACATTACGCTCACTTTCCCGGCCTGGATAGCTGAGGTCGGTAAGGCTGAAGGGCATAGACTTTGCTTGAAGGTTCTTGGCTTGAATTCTTAGTGAAGGCTCGCGGATTCAAAGACTTTGCGTGAAGGCTCGCGGATTCGAATTCTTAGCCGGGCATGAATGTTTGTGTATATAGTATGTGTTCCCCACCGTTACCCAAAGTTCAAAGTTACAGTGATCGCTATAAGTCCAGGCAATTGAAAACCGAGGTTTAAAAATTCACCTTAAAGATTCTGTATCTATACAACTTCGTTCAGTTAAGTAGATCCCTGTAATAGCCAGGGCGAAACACCCATAAGTCATATAGCATTTTCAATGAACATATAGATAATATTACTAGTGTATTTCTACAACATGTTCTTTGCATTAGAATGGTTGTTGAAATGAAATTCGAATTTGTAATTTCAAAGACTGTCAAAAATTACAAGAAACTACTCAATATTTTAAAAAAAGTGTAGAATACCTTAATTACAAATATATTTTTCAAGAACAGATTTCTTTAAGTAAAATTTCTCTAAAATCTATATTGTTGTTTTTCAATGATAATGTTATACAACTTTAAAACATACAGAGAGTTCACGAACTATGAGTCTTCCATCAGTACATTACACTATTCACGAAAATATCAAAAAAGGTTTTTTTGTGCCGTCTTTGAAACAATGTTGTTTTAAATTCCCTTACTTCAAGCAAAAATTATGCAAAAACTACACATTATTTCCAAAAATTGTACATAACCTTATTTTGTGATTTCTCAGAACATATTTTGTTAAGAAAAAATATCATCAATATTGAAGTCCTGCAATGTTAATTTTTTGCAAACTTCGAAAGAAAACAAAATTAACCAAACCTGCACCATTTTATAATCCTGCACAATAAATATACTTTGTTGTCAGCGCTCATCGGCTGAGATGTGTTGATATAGACAGAAATGCGGTATAAAATTATTACATAACCGTTACTATGGGGGCGAGAAAGTATGTGATGTTTTAGCACCACTAGTTTAAACATTAAACAAAGTAATTTTATGAAACAAATACAACTTTTTTCAACAAACAAAATATTTTCAACTCTGTTTCCCACGTTTATATTTACATTACAAGCCTTCTTTTACACAGTATTGCAATTGAGAGTACAAACGTTTCAAAAGACTTCCTAAGAAGTTTCTCGAAAAACTCAATTCTGTGAAAAGATAGAGATTTCCAAAAACGCTCAAACAACGTTGTCTCGAAAATGGTTCAAAAATTTTCTTTGAATATTTGCCTAGAGAACCAAGGTTTACTCTTCTATAGTATTCTTAAAATGGTATTTAAATTCGACTATTAAGGGCTCGAAAGAATGAGAAAATGTGAAAAAAACATCTTTTAGACACAAATAGATGGCAGCTGAGAAGAGGGTGGAGCAAAGGCAAAGAGCTAGTCCAGACTAAAGAGGTAACAAAATTAACTTGTACGAGAAAGTATGTGCCATTCTGTTACACTATTACTTTTAACTTGTAAAATATTTGTATTTTTTAATACATTTCATCCCGTATTTGTTTCATGTCATACGTTTTTTCAAGCAGAAAAAAAAATCATATACATTTATTTGGAGTTTTCTATTACAACATTTGCTAATTCAATATTGCTAATCCAAACTTTGGGTAGTTGTATTCCACAAGTTTATGATACGTACTCAGCAAAGTATTTCTGCAGAGTTACGCAACCAGAAAATAACGTCTACCCTATAATTCTTATTACAGAGAGAAAAAAAGAGACGATCATTCACCGGCCATCACGTGACTTGTAAGAACAAATATCATTCAATAGACTTCGACGATTCCAAATGACAGGGTATTAGTTGTAACCTCGTGTCGACTTGAGAAATACCGTAGTTGACCTTCACTAGACTTCTGTCGGGTGGCATCGATGATTTGTGAGGGACTGGAAATAAAGGCCCCGTCAGAGGAAAAGTTAGATGTTGCAACCGACCAGACGGGCAGATGTTACTGTTCACAGGATCTGAAGCAGTGACCGCCATTTTGAATAATGTAGTGGACACGGACGCAACCGTGTTTCATTTATTCACAAGCCGACGCTTGTTCTTGCGTTAGCTCGTATTGTGTCTCAATTTGTGTAGGTCAAAGTAAATTATGCAAATGTATTAGTTGTAAAGTTCGTATTATTAAAAGGTTTGTGAAAATACGGAGAAACGACTGATTTTTTTATTACTTTCTCGTTAGTACTTACGCAATATACAGAAATTATTGTAATGCTTTGGGAAAAAAGCGAATTTTCGACAGAAAAACTGTTATTGGAGGGCCCTAGTAACAATAAATTTCAATAAATATTGTCCGTGTGTACAGTAAAGTAAATCCTCTTTGCGTAGTCAGAATCTGCTTTGTGGGTCTTTAAGGTCAAAACATTAGTGGCTAAACCATGAGCAGGATTTTCACCAAGATTAATATTCCTCAATCGATGTGGTTGATGTTAAATTTTAAACCGATGTTTTAATTTAGGGGAGGGGGTACTTTGTGTTAAGCATCAACATTTTCAAAACAAATGGCTCCATATATTTTTTATTAAACTTTGTCCTTTGGTAGTGTAAAGGACGCTTAAGAGAATAGTGCAGGTCTTATTTTCGTTGAAGTCTCTGATTTCTCGTTTTGTCTCAAATTGTGTAGTTCAAAGTCATCATGCAAATGTATTAGTTGTAATGTTCGCATTAATATTTTTTTTTCTGAAAACACAGAGAAATGGTGGATGAGTTGCTTGGGAATTCGTGAGTACAAGCGAGGCTATTTCTTCCAGACGAACTTCTCCCAGGCAGGTAATCCCATTAGTGGATTGCAATTGGTTTTCCTCTGTATTAATGATTATTTAATTGATTATTTATTCTGGACGCGTCAGCTACTACGATTATGAGTCCCGTTAGTAGAGTGCATGCGTCTTTCTCGAAAGATGACGGTAATCTTTCCCCGCTAGATGGCAAGATCCACCACCTACCTTGGGTTTTTTTTCAAACAAGTATCTCTCACCAGCGTTACCCCAGCCAGGACGAGTTCTAAGCACCCGACTAGTCTCCCGCCATGTGTGGTAGTGTTACGAGTAATTATAAGTGTTTGTAAGAAGTGAAGATAAAAGGAACGGGAAGGAAAGATCGCGCACGGTCCGTGGCCCGTTTGTTAGGGTACTGCTCCGACATTCGTCAGGTGTTGATCGGAGAACCCACACAAAAATACCGATCAGAGCACTCGCTAGAATTCTCCTCCAGACTGCGACTCAATTCATCGCAGCTTTGTTGCAAATCCTACCACAAACGACAGGGACTCGAAACCTAGAATCTCCCTGTCGTTTGTGCTCGATGTTTAAGAGACACGTGATGTCGCTGAGAGAGGATTCCTAGTGACATTCAATAGCAGCAACGTTTCATGTGACGTAATCTCCTTTTGTTATCGCAAACTGTGAATGAATAAATGAGCGACACAAAGCGTCCTATCGGCTGAGCGCATTTATGACATCCGACATAAAAATTGCACCTAATTAAAAGTATCCAGACAGCGTAGTTATGGAACTGAAAAAAATATTAAATGTATAGACTAGCATTCGCTGTACATCATGCAACGCGCACGTGGAATGGTCACTAAAACGCGACAACGCTGCCACTGTTAGAGGATTGATTGATTGCGGGCGCATTAACAGCTAAGGTGATTAGTCCCGTAAGTGCATTCCATGTGTTTTGCTCGGGAGGTGGCGGCGCTCTTTCCCTGCTGGATGGTGAGATCCGGCACCGACTAGCGTCGGCTAGCGGGGGTTCCCCCAACCAGGTATCTCCCACCAACGTGACACCGCCCCAGCCGGGACAAGCTCTAAGCTCCCGATCGGTCTCCCGGCATGTGTGATGGTGGAATGCTTGTAAGTGTAAATATGTGTAAGGGGTCCGAATAGGATAAGAAAGAGAACGGAAAGATCGCGCGCGGTCCGTGGCCCGTTTGTTAGGGTACTGCTCCGGCATTC